CCCCCCAGCGTCTGTCCAGCCTAAAGGTTCTCCACGGGTGAGTACCCATCTCAGAGAGCCTGTCCCCACCCTGCTGGTAAGACATGAGGGTCGGGCACCGGCACATGTGTGAGTTCACACGCATGTACACACACAGCTGGCACAGTCTTGCCGGCCTATGGCCCCTCCACACGGAGCTGGACTCCCCTCTGCACAGGCCGCTCCCGAGGCGAGTGCTCTCACGCCCACTCGGATATTTAAATTATTTTCCACAGAGAAACTGCACAGCTCCCTCCCAGCACCTCTGGACCGGGGCCTGGGCTGGGAATGCTTTTCTCTCCCTCCTTTGCCAGGTCAATCCCCCCATCTCCAAAAGTTAGGGGAAGGAGGGGTCACGCTCCCAGGAAGGCCCCTGCACTGCTCCTGGTCCGACTGCCCCATCCTGCTCCTGCGGGCCCAGTGCTCAGCCAGAGCCGGCCTGACCGTCCCTGCACACCTCTGAGGCTGTGCCCCACCCGCCAGTGACCCAGGGCAGTGCCACCCTGAGCAGACACCCCCCTGCCTGCGCCCCAGAGCTGGGACCATTTCCTTGGTCACCCAGCACGACCCGGCCGGCCTGGGGATGACCATCCCCAACCACATCCTGTTTGACTAGGCTGAGCGTGAACACAGCACCCCCAGGAGGGGGACATATCCGGTGCCAAAGGCGCTGGACCGACAGAAGACCATAAGGAAACGGCCTCCCGGCCACTCCCCAAACACTGGCCGTGCCTGTGTCCTCACAGCACACCGGGGAGGGGCTGTGCAGGGTCAGGATCAGGGTCAGGGTCAGGGAGATGGGGGAAGAGAACAGACACACAGACCCAGGGCCGAAGGGTCTCCACGGTCCCGCAGTCCGGGGCCTCTCCGTGTCTCAGCCCCTCGCTTCCCCCCGACCCCCGACCTGCTCAGTCCAGTGTCCCCTTGAACAGAACACAGCAGCTCAGCCCACACCCCCCCCGCCAGCCCAGCGCCCTCCCGTCCCCAAGTCCACTGGGCACTGCCAAGGTCTCACTCAACAAGGGGGTGGGAACAGACAGAGACGCGCGCCCGCGCCCCAGCAGCGCTGCGCCCGGCGCCCAGGAGCAGAAACAGCCCCACGCCCACCGGAGACTATGGACAAACACAGGGTGGTCCCCACGCCGCGGAACTCAAGCCTCCGACAGGAGGGACCCGACACCTGCTATGACACGGACGGACCGTGAGGACACAGCTCAGTGGAATCAGCCAGACACTGAGGGACACACACCGAGTGACCCCACGTATATGAGGTCCTGGGGGAGTCAGGTTTACAGAGTCAGGAGGCGGGCGGTGGGTGGCAGGGCTGGGGTGGGAGAGGGAGTGAGCGTGCAATGAGAACGGGGTTCTGGAGAGGGGGGTGGCGACGGCTGCAAGGCAAGGTGAATGGACCGAATGCCACTGAGCTGTGCACGTAAACACGGTTAAAAGGATAAACCTTACGTCATATGTAGTGTAACCACAATTAAAAAAAATCATCGTGAAAAGGTAAATAAAAAAACCCAGAACGAATCTGTCTGTGCAGCCCACGAACACCTACTGGACATCTCCTGAGGTCCGAGTCCTGCGATCAGAACTGACCAGGCCGTCGTGCGGCTCAGCCCAGCTGGCACCTGCGCACATCCCAGCGGCCGGGGGCGCGGTGTCCCAAGGGGACCGGCACTGCCTCCTCTGGAATCTCCCAGAGTGAGCCCGAGTCCGGGTCTGGGTCCTTCAAGGACAGCGCCCAAGCCCCTTGCTTCCCTCTTCCTCTCCTGATCAGAGGAGCACCCTAAAACATAGCTGTGGGCAGGTACCACGGGGATCCCTGGCCGGGGGGCCCCTCCCAGCAGTCCAGAGAGCCTTAGAGTGCAGAGATTAGAGACTCTGTGTTCTCCTTGCCTCTGCTCACAGTCCCCCGCCCTGGGGGAGAATGTGGAAGACCCTCCAACGCAAAACCTCAGGAGGGCAGGACCCACCCACCCCCGAGTCCCACTCAGGGGCCTCGGCCTCGGCCTCTGCCAGGCATTTGCAGGGCTGCCTGCCATTCCTCCCCTGGGCCCAGTGACCACAGAAGGTGAGAGTCCGTCCCTGGGTCTCAAACCTCCCTGCCTCTCATTTCCAGGCTCCAGCCCCACACCCCCGCCATCCTGGGCTCACAGAGGGCCCGTGTTGACCAGTGAAGGAACCCCTTGAAACCCAGAGGTTCCTCCCCAAGTCTAACTCAAGTCCCACTTGCTGCATCTCAGTTCATCCACCGTGGACAGAAAGAGCTGCCAGTCTGCTCCCCTGACCTACAGTCGCTCGCCCCTGTGTATTGGTCTCCACAGAAGCACGGCCCCCCCCATTCAGCTTCTTTCTCCAACACTCCACGGCAAAGCCAGCTCCCGTCCCCCCAATCCTCACCACACCCGGTGCTTGCTACTCACCTTCCTGGCTCCTGGGTGGCGCCTCGGCAGAGGGGGGCTGGGGCTTGGGCTCCAGCCTGCTGTGCAGCTGAGACATCGGGGTGGGTTCTGAATTCTCCAGGGTCTGGGCTGGGATAGGGGAGGCGGGCACCTCGGCTGACTTGGGCACCTGGATCTCCACCCTCTTGGGGGCAGGGTCTGCACTGGGGGCGGTGGGCACCTCAGGGATCTTGGAGGTGGGGGTCTCCACCCTCCGGTGGGCTGGCTCCTGGGGCTTGACTATGGTGATCTCCGCCCTCCGGGGGGCGGGCTCCGGCGTCTTGTGGCCCAGCGCCTCCGCTCGCTTCAGCCCGAACCGGGAGGGCCCGGGGGGGCCGGCATTCTCCACCTGCTTGGACGAGATGTCGATGGAGATCTCGGTGCGCCGGGACATGGGCTCGGACTTGGGCCCCGACAGCTCGACCCTTCGCAGGGCGGCCTTGGGGGAGCGCTGGCTCAGGGAGTCTACATGGCGGGCGGCGGGCTCGGAGTTCTTCACGCCCAGGTCCTGGAATTTCTGGGTGGAGCTGGCCACGGTGGCCCGGAGAAGGGGAGTCTGGACCCTCCGGGGTGGAGTGGAGTTGGGCGTCTCGACCTCCTCGACCTCAAAAGATCTTTTCAAGGCTGAAAGACAGAGAGAGGAGGACATGGTGAGTGGACGGCTCGGGGACACCCAGGAGCATCGCAGTGAAGGCCGGAGGGGAGCTGGCGGGGCCGCGGCAGCCAGGGCAGGCCCTGTACCCTTCACCTCTCAGAAAGGAAAGGGGACAGCCCCCCTCCACCAGGAGACTCAGAGGCTCAGCCGTCATGCGCTCTGGGGGAGAGGGAACAGGCTGGAGCCTGGAGGATGCCGGCCTCTGTCCGGCCACGGCCACCACCACGGCCACGGCGTGGACCAGCTACATTCCCTATCAGGTGTGTGGCTCCAGGGAAGCCCTGGACTTTTCCTGTTGTGGCCTTCCCTTCTCGCACCTCGCATCCCCTCAACGCAGACACCGTCAGCAAACACACCCTCGGCACCTCCCCAGCGGCAGCGGGGGGCGGGGGGACGTCCCCCGGTAATAACAGCGCACGGTGACCAACCAGAGCCACGGTGGGAACAACATCACATCGACAACAGCGAGGAGCAGACACCGACATTTCCCGCAGGTGAGGGCCGGGCTCGCTGCACACGTCGCACCGACCCGCGAGCTAACCCTTCGCTGGAAATAACGCTGTTCTCGCCTGGTTCAGATGGGGAAACCGAGGCCCGGGGCTCGGGGGTGCTCCCGTTAGAGCAGGCAAATGGAAAGATGAGCGGGGCACGTGGTAGGTTCTCGCCTGCGTTTGCTGCCGTTTGTTGTCTCTTGTTTGAATTCGTTCGTATAACACAAGAGCTGAAGACGCAGGATCCTGGTTCCAGCCAGAGGCCACCCGACATTCCCAACAGCAGAGGCCGCGAGTGGCGGACCCCGAGGACGTGTCTGCCGGGCTCCCAGGCCCAACACACCACCATTAGGATGAAACCCCTGGGCTGCAGCTCTAAGGGCCCTTCCCACTGGGGGTCGCCTCACTCCTGCTCTGCACCCCAGCCCCTGACCTGTCCCAACCACGCTCAACAGATGCATGCGCAGAGCTGCGGCCGAGCGACTCCAACTCGTCTGCGTCCGGGGACACAGGGAAGGGAAAGCTGCCTCCTCCCGCCTTTTCCGGACTCACACGAAACCCCAGGTCGGGGGAGTCGCCGTCGCCGTCGCCGTCGGGGGGACGGCGCTGCTCTGGGTTTACAGGGCAGTGTTTGGTGGCGGAACAGATCAGACCGTTTCCAGAGCAGGCTGTGCAGGGGACGCCCGTTCCCAGGTGCCTCTCCCCTGGGGGTGCCGTGACACCCGAAGCACCCAGCTGGGACAAATCAGGAGACGGCCTGTCATAAAGCTGGCGTGACAGGGTCCCTGGGCATCTGTTCCCCCATCGGAGTCCTGAAAACATCCCCCGGGTCCTGTGTGTACACACACACACACACACACACGCACACGCGCACACGGCCACCCTCCTTGGAAACGCCCTCCACCCCCTCCGCTGGGGAAGCGGGTGTAACCTACTCCCGGCACTCATCCTGCCCCTCCCTACGGAGGCAGAGGCACCCAAGGGGGGTCCCCGCGGGGCCACAGAAGCCAGCAAGCTCACCATTTTGCAGGTTTGAGACCCCTACGTGACCGCGCGGACGGCGCAGTGGGGAGCGGCCCTGGCTGCCTCCCCTTTGGTCTGAACAACATTACTGGAGCCGGAGGCCATGCCAGAGGTCCCCGGTGGACCGGACAACGTGGGCTCTGCAGAGCACCAGGCACATAAACCCCAGGGCCACGGGGAGAGGGAGATACAGCCACCCCCCAGCGCAGGGCGTGCCCACCTCTGCCACGGACGTTCCCGTCTTCCTCCATTGAACTCAAGTCCCCCCAAGCTGGGCACAAGCCTCGCCTGCTCCCTGAAGCCCTCCCCAAGGCGCACCAAGGGCCCGAAGCCGGTCGGGCGCTTGTCCCGAGGAGACCACGAGAAGAGCAGGAGACGTGTTGCAGGAGGACACCGGCATCAGCATTACAACAGCAAACGCTGGGAACCACCCGGGTTTACATCGGTTTTTAAACCTGTGTGCCAAAGTCTTACTCGGGCACCGAAATCGCAGTTTTGAAGATGAGAAATGCTGAGACTATGATGTAAAAATAGCTGAATACGGGACGGCCGCAGGCGGGGATCTGGTTTCCTCAGAGATCTGGTTTTCTCACTCCCCAAACGCTGGTCTCCAGGCAGAACCACGGTGGGCGTTTCTGTCCATAAGATGCTCCTGCCTTTTCCCAACATGCGACGTGAAATGTGGTCACTTAGTATCTTCAGGGGTAAAGCCATCACCACTGTGTATAAACAAACCTGGCTGAGAGCAAGGGGAGGGGGTGGGTACCTGGGCGTGCCCGCCGTGTCCTTCCCCAAAGCCCGGCCCCTCCAGTCCACCCAGCACACAGGCCCCGCCGCCTCCCCAGGGGCAGCCCTTCCTGTCCGCCTGGCCCGCGGGGGTCGAAGAGAGAGCGGCGGGATCTGGGCCTGTTTAAGGAGGAATGTGCGGCGCACAAGGGGCCATTGTGAGGGCTGCTCTGACCGCAGGCTGCCGCGGGCCTCGCCCCGCTCCCGAAACACTTCCCAGGGCACGCAGGGGGCCTGGGCAAGCTGCAGAGCCCCGCTCCAGGCTCCAGGCCGGGACATTTGTCAGCAAGGAAATGCTGCAGACGAGGTCAGAACAAGCCCATGCGCAGCTCTCGAGGGAAAGAGCGATGTGGCCACCACCCAGCACCCCGTCCAGCTCTGGCTCAGGCGCCAGGACCCCTGGTCACGCTGAGTCTTTCCCAGGCAGCGGCAAAGCAGGTTCCCTCCCTGGAGAAACAGCGGCCACTCGGGAGCCAGGGTCGGGGGCTGCGGAGCCCAGAGGGACGGTGCCAGGCTCCCCGTCCTGAGCCTGCAGGAAAAGGCCACGGGAACACCCACCCCGCAGGGAACTGCACGACCGTGGAGTGAGTCCAGGAGCCGGTGGGACCCCTGGGGCCAGCTGGGTGCAGTGGCCCTCCCCACTCCTCCCTGTTCTCTCCTGCGAGTCCGGGCCTGGCACAGACCCCGACTCTATGCAGTGGGTGGGTGAGGGGCTCAGGGAGGGCACTAGGGTGAGCAGAGTGGGGTCCAGCTGTGGGACAGGGAGGAATGGGACGCCCCCCCCCCCAACCGTGCAGCAGGGAAGACAGAAGAGTGGTAACCATGCAGCAGTTTTTACAGGTGTCGGTGCCCCAGGCGGGAAGACGGGAAGGGGCAACACTGCTCCCCATGCCAGCAGCTCTCAGGCAGTAACTGGTGGGTCGACACACCAACCCCACTCTGGTGGGACAACTCTGGGGAGCCTGGTGCAGAGCCTCCCGGTGCTGCACGGGGCTGAGCTCCGGTCCCCCCGGACGTAGCGCGTTAACATGCCTGGGGATGCACCTGAGCGGCCGCCTCCCTGGGGCTCTCACTCCCACCTGGGGGGCCAGGGACACGACTGGCTCCCCCTGCACATCCCCTGGGACCAGCTGGGGGCACCTCACACTGAAACCCTTGTCTCAGGAGCTGCGTCTGGGGGAGGACTCGGATGGAGAAAGTGGGGGCAGGTGCCCTCAGAAAGCAAAACAGTCTAAAAGGAGGGGCTCAAAAGTAGCCGCTGTGGCTGAGCCGGAGCAGGGGAGTCAGAAAACTGAGCTGTCCCTGGGCTTCGGGCAGAGGAACACGTCTGTTTAACAACAGCCACGTCCATATAAAGGAAGGAGAGCGAAAAGCCGCACCCACAGCTCAGAATCCTCCCTCTACCCTCTCCCTCGCTCCCCAAGGCCAGACAGCCTGAGGACCATGCCCGTGCCAGCCCCCTCTGCCCCGGCTCCAGGTCAGGGCCCAGGGGACAGTGGTGGCTGGGGGGCTGCTGGCTGCCGTGGGATCACGTGGCCGGCTGCGGTGGCCTGGGCATGCGGGGAGTGCACCCAGCCCCGGCTCCCTGGCCCTCCAACCAGATGCCAGCCAGCATTCCATCACCTGGCACAGTCTCGCTGCGGGTCCGGCCAGCCCACACCCCTGGGAAAGGAGGAACCAGCTGGTCCCTGAGGCTTACCAGGAGGCCTCTCCACCCAGGGGAGCCCACCCCATGTACACATTTTATTTTGATGACTGTCTTTTGCTTTGGGTGTTAGGAGGAGCGGCTTTCTCTCGGTCTCTGGTGTCCTGGGCCCAGAAGACACAGGCACTCCAAGGGTCCTTTCTGCTCAGCACAGCCCCCACCCGGGGGGCCTGGCCTGGTCCCTGGCCAGGGTCTCCCGACTCTGGATTAGTGATGTGAGAAGGAGCAGATCTGACATGCCAGCCAGGGCCAAGAGAAACAAACAAGCCCCTTCCCTCCTCCGCAGGCTGCAGGAGGGCCTATGCCACTCTCTGAAGGGGGACCCTCCTCGCAGCCTGCCGGGCACAGCAGCCCTTCCCTACCAGCAACATAAAAGAGCTCAAAGGCCAGGGAGTGACGCGCCAGCGACCTGCGGCCCCTCCACTTGGGATGGAACCTCGGCCATGGGCGGGGAGCCCAGAGCAGCTGTGGCCAGCAGCTGGCCCTCGGGAGCCCGGACCTCGTCTTAGTCCCCAAATTCATCACACTACTTTCTCCCTGGAAAAAAGCTCTCCAGTAGCCTGGCAAGTGTGGGCACAGGCAGAACCAGCCCCAGCTCCCAACCAGCCCTCCCCAGCCAACCACCCCGTCAAGTCCACCTAGATTGGGAGAGGGGGTCCCGCTGATCCCTTCACAACAGCTCCCAGAATCTGCTGTACCATTTGAGGGACACTGTCCAACAGTGTCCCACACAATGGTGTGTTTAAGTCTTAATTCTGGAACCCTTGGAAGTGACCTTGTTTGGGAAAAGGGTCTCTGTAGGTGTAATTAAGGTAAGAATTGGAGGTGAGGCTGTCCTAGATTAGGGTGGGCCCGAAATCTGATGGCATGTGTCCTCAAAGAGACAGCAAAGGAGGAGACACGCAGGGGAGGTCACGTGGGGATGGAGAAGAGACCATACTGGCCGAGGATGCCAGAGCCTCCA